TAAGTAATTAGTTCAGAATATACATAAGGTTCTTTCGCAATATTTAATGACACAAAAATTGGTTTAGCAGTGGTAAGATTATAATTATAATCTAAGAATAATAAATTAATTAGTTATTATTATTAAAACAAAAGAAAATTAGAAATATATTACAAGTTTCGCACTTGTGTTCCCCCCTATTATAATAATTTCATTATTGTCTGGTGTTAAGGTTACAGTGTGGCCTATTCGAGCTTGAATGCGGATTCGTTGATTTGCATACTAAAAAATATAAATTATATTACTTAGAATTTCAACATGAAAATATTTATTACCTCAAAACTGAAATTAATTGCATACTTTGTATGACCAGGTTGAAGAAATTGCGTCAAATACTGGGATCTATAATAGGTGATATAAATTAATATTTATGCACGATTAAAAGAAACTGAAGAAACTAATCTATATTAAATTTGAAGAAAAATTATTTTACCTCATTCATATCTATTAAGTTTGCGTTCTTTCCAGGGACAGTCTGAGATACACCACCAATATAAAGAATCTTACCATTTGGAAGCATTACTGGTTCTGCATGACTTCGAGGTGAAGGAGCATTGTCTGCATTAATTTTATTCCACGATAATAATACCGGGTCAAAAGCATATAAATCATTATAACAAACAAATATAGGTGATCCTGTATCTTCTTGAGCTCTCCCTCCAAATATATATATTATTCCATTCTGACTTATGGCAGTTGAAGTTGATCTTCGTCTAGACGGCTGCGTTCCATTATAACTCAAAGGATATGACCAAGATTTTGCACGTGTATGATAGAAAAAAATGAATTGATCAGTCGTATTATAGGTTTTGCTAATTTCATTTATCATCAATGTTGGGTTCGAAGTTATAGTCGCATTATGATCAATTTCACTAAGGAGTGCAAGATTCTGTTGTACACCTCCAATCAAAAACGCTTTTTCATTAACAGCATCTCCGAGTACCATGGCACCTTACATAAAAAAAAATATAGATATGTATATTAAGTGCTTTATAATTAGCTACACAAACAAATTTAATTGCCAACCTTTTTCACTTGCAAATTTCATTCGTGCAGAAGTACTTGTAAGGTCAACATATGGTGGGTTACCAGTGGAAAATTGAGATAAAAGATTTAGATAAAAAACCTCATCGGACAAATTATACACTCTTATTGAGCTCTTAATTGGATTTGTAGATGGAATAAAACGAGAACCTCCCATAAAATATAATAGACCTTCAATTATAATTGCCACATGTCCTGCTCGAGCTTCCGGTATAAAACTAATGGCTTTGGGAAATTTATATATGAAAATAATTATGAAAAAGATAATTTTGCTTGATTTTGTTTTTAGATTCCACATTTTTTATTATTAAATAATTAAAAAAGGATTAATGATGGGAAATAGAAGCTGTAAGATTTAGTAGTTTACGTAATACTAACCCTCCACCCCCTCCACCCCCTCAACGCCCTGAGTAACCCGATTAAA